TGAATACCTGACTGAATAAATTATTGGCTTCTGAACTAGCTACTAATTACTTCCATAATGGCACAGAAAATATTTATAAGTGCAAGCCTGGGATTCCGGCAATCGATAATGCATTGTACGGAATGTGAAATTAGTGAACTTTGCTCTTGTTTGCCGAAATTGGTCGATTAAGTTCATTAAAATATTGGAAATTAATTCGAACATTCGAAAAATCCTACCGAACAGTAAATTGTCATCTCGAAACATTGAAACTATTTGATAGTTACTTTAATCGATTGGCATGAGCAATAAAGCTATCTTTACGTAAATCACCAACCTTCACTTTAGAAGTGCAATCAATCAATGACTTCAAACTCTCTTTTCTTTCGCCATTTTTATAGGAATTTGAAGCTTGTCACGGAACATTTTGGAAGTGAAACTTTTTTACTTTTTCCAAAATAATTTTGGACCTGCAAATCCGATATTGAGGAAATTGCTAGCTCTGTTCAGTGTTAAATGGGAAATCACTCTCATAGAGCCAACTTAGTTTAATGATTTTCCTGTTTATTGATAACAACCGTACCATTACATATACTTTGAAGTTAGTCGTTCAAAGTTATTACGTGAGCAATAAGGCAATGCGTTTTTTGACATGAAATGGACAATCCTTTGTGGGTGCAGCTGTTCATGGCCTACTGTGTGTTGGCTAAAAATAGCCAATAAAATATAAAATACAAGAAAAGAAAAGATTACATCACAAATATCCGCGTTGCATTAGGAGCAAGCACTTATTATTTTCTTCAAATCGTTTGTTGTGCCTAATCAGCATTAAATATCAAACTAATAAAAATAGAAGTAAAGTGTAAGCACTGTTACAATAGACTACAATAAGTTACTACCACCGTCCAGACCCGCCACTTAGCAATATAACCCACTATGGCTTGCTTTCGCTCAGACTTCTTTTGAGAATACCGTCACTTAAACACTGGGCATTAAATATTGTGAGCATTTCTAGTTCTATTTTACATTGACATGATGGGACATCATGAAAGACTAATAGGTATAATAACGGCTAGCTGTTTTCATTAAATTGCCCTTTGTAAGTTAAAAATGCATCGATTTTTGCGAGGATTCTACAATATTGCTCCGGAAATCAGTGCATTTATGCGACAAACTTGCAACCACCTCTTTATTTTACCAATATACGATTTTATTCATCCATTACTTCATTTAATTTTAATTACTCAATTTTATTCTTTTCACTACATTATTCATTATCACTCAAATTACTCTTTAAAGAATTTTAATTTTCTCAATTCTATTTGGAATAATGTTGTTAGTCACATTTAACTGGCGTTGATTTGTATTGGTTTGAAACGAAAAACAATTACATTAAAGCAGCTGATCTGTAAGCTCCGAATAATATGGAAGTGGGTTCAGATTATGAATATGATCATGCCTATAACAGATTGAGTTTTGTCGCTTAAAGATAGAGTTGACAATATATTGTTACTAGAACCATTTTTAACTAACTTTCGATAGTCCTTGTACTTCTGTTTTACATCTTCATTAGGTATTATGTCAACCTTTGATGGAATAGTGATGTCAATACATTAACTTGATACGCACGCATTTTTACTGCATTTAAATGGCTCTATCAAACCCAGTAGTACAATAATAACACTTTACGCCTGCAGGCATTCCTAACGGCAAGGCACAGTGTGCGACTAAGTAGTTAACATATCATTGCCTTCAGTCTCTTTACTTTGGTTGGTTTTCATCTACTAATCCCCGTGAAACTAAGCCCATTCATCTACGGTCTTATAATATGCAACAACAAATGCAGACCGTCTGTAGACTTTTCCATTTTCTACATCAGTTGATGCGGTGGCCGATTTATCCATTTGTAACAAATTAGTTAATTGTTGACCGGCAGTTATTTAAACTCATCTAAACTTTTAGACATCTTTTTTGCAGATGAATTAATATCCCATTTATTGCTCCTGGTTATTAACAATAATGATCGCTATATACTGCATTTGAAGGTAAATTAACTGAAAAACCTTAAAATACTTTCCTCGAATATCCTTGACTTTAAAGTACCGGTAAATTTGATCTAAAGTCAAAATTGGCTTAATAATTTACTAAAATAAAATGATTTTATATCAGTTAGAGCATAAATTCACCCCTCTAGGATCAATATTTTTCAATAAACAGAGGATGTTGGTTGTTTTAATCTGCTAAAATCCTCCATTATGTTATTGATTCTAAAAAAGAAATTGAGGACGAGGAGAAGATAAGATCAGCATAAGTGCTAATGAATACAAACTTGGTCAAGCAGACAGTCAGATGTGAGCCATCCTAGACCTATATAGCTCGAGTTTGGTCACAGTTATTTGATGCTAAAAACATTTTTCTACAGTTAGAGCTAAAATTGAACCTCCAGTAGCTTAATGAGTGAAGTAAAAGTGTTTGTAGGTACTATTAAAATCAATTTTATAACAAATAACAATTTGGAATTTGGGAAAAAAGCTTTTAAACGTTAATCATTTTTACACTGGTCGATAACAGGCGGTTTTGTAGAGGATGATACTTAAGTGAACCTTGACTAAACCTTGTCAATCACATGTACAAGAAAGTCCCTGAACTTAGTTAATGCGTATGACGTGAATGCGTTAATTCGACTTTTGATGCTACTGGTATAGGAACTTAGCTATTAAATGCAGTTTTGTCTAGGCTGGCCATGCAGTGTATTGATTGTTAATTAGCCGAGAGGTTTCTGCTTTCGCTTCCGCTCTTGCTCCCTAACACGATCACTGTGGCCGCGCTTGATGGCAGCGGAATCAGTGGCGCGCAGCCCGTTACAGAAAGCTCGAGAACGCGCGAGCTTCCATATTTCAGTCACAGATAGTGTTGTGATCAAAATTTGTGTAAGCGATCTAATTGAGTAAGTAAGTCTCGATTGATATTCACATCGATTAACGTAATCATTTCTGAACCAAAACGGCACGAGTTCACTGTACCTCAAGGCTAACGAGTGATTAGGGGGGGGGGGTTGACAAAATTTGATTTTTTTGCATCGAGGCCTCAAAATGCCACTTTACTACCGAAGGCGAGTGAAGAAAAGCCCTTTACTAAGTTACTATTAAGCTAGTTAGACAATCATGCTTGGTGAAAGTTTTATTTCCTTCCAAGAAAGGACATGCATCTGTAGTGCCCTTAAATCCCCACAGGTCTTTATCTCAACTTACAGCCGTATTATTCATTTGCCTCAGTTACAGCCATTTTTTGCAGTGTTAAGCTGCATTCTTATTTTCAAATTAATGACAAAGCTTCCTATTCAACCTCTTGATCTTGGAACTCTTAAAACAACAAACTCGAAGTTTCCGAAACTAGCTATTTACCAAAAACTAAGACCCGAAAGAACGAAAAAGCCGTTCCATAAGTTTGTACACCGATGTACCAGGCCCTGCTCCAGCGAAAGTAACCTCTTGATGAGTCTTACCGAAGAAATCCCAACTTCCAACGTTGAATGACTCTTCCTGTCCCATTAAATTCATATTACTTAAAGGAAAGAAACTTAATAGTAGGTTAGATTGATCGATTTCAAGCAGTATTCTCATATTTACTTAGTTATCGTATATTCTTTTCACTATAAACTTCTAAGATCACTTTGAAAGTAATACGATTATAATGAATCTGATGCTGATTCAAGCTTACGCATTTTATTGCGAGTTGGAGATGTGTTTCCTTAGCTGATACAAGTTTATGATCTGTTAACAGAGGTAGATAAAAGTGCCGAATATTATTTTGATCAAGCTACGTTGTTAGTTTGTCAAATCACAAATATCTAGAACAGAAGTTCACCAATAGCCTACAGAAAAAGATTCAAAGTTCAAGATATCCGAATCGAAAAATGTTGGTGCTTCTGAAGAAACCTCAGAAGCTATATCTCTGGATCATTGATTGCCGCTTAATTACGATCTCACTTAGATAGGTTATTACCAACCCTAGGCAATTATCGCTACAATTATTAGTCAATCAAATACTAGGTACCTCGTTCTATTTAACTAAGTTTACTTTTATAATAAGAAGACTGTTTTTTTAATTACAGGTCTTCATTACCCCCTGGTGTTGGGGTAGTAGCAACTTTATAAAATGATTGGTCAAGTAACGTAGTAGGGTTTATTGAATTATGAGTTACTTAATTTCCCCATTCTCCATATTTCATCAACATCCTCAGTTATATCCAACCACGTCAGATCTGTACCTCCGTGGCCAATTCAATGATGCATATGACTTAACGAAAAAGGAACCGATAGAAGCAACATTCTGAAATAAAATCATTTTTTTGCCTTATTCCAGTGTTTTACTCGGAATGAAATTTGGTGAAATAGAAGCCCATCTGCAAAATTACTGTGACATCCATGATACGTTACAGGCGAAATAACGTGAGAACCAAAATATTCTGATTTTAAGTATGCACAGAGTCGGTAATAATTATTAGGATATCTTAACACTAAAAGTTCCACTCTTAGCGTTGCGACTTGGCTCGCTATCTTGGGTGATCGAAGTGTTTAACACTAACTGAAAGCTTCTTAACTATCAGCCTAGAAGCCGAAGTTAGTCCTGAATCACTTCTACTTGGGGGATACAAAACTGGTTCAGGACTATCTTAAAAGAAGGCTAGTACCTGGAGCGAGCCACAAATCGTATGCGCACCATAAAAGCTGATAAACGATATCAATATCAGAAGCGGTCTCGTACTACCTCTCAGGACGCCACATTAACAACCTAAAAAGGTAGCCAGTTCCAATTCTTAAATGCATAGTTTTTAACTTTACTCTTCTCACTTCTCTCTCCTAAGACTGCCCACAACTCTCAACCAGCTAGGGAACTGAGTTCTCATACTTTCCACAGACACACACATTGAGTTTGAGAATAAGTAAAAAATCACAGATAGAAGCTCATTTAATTATAATTATAACACAAATCATGATGATCACCAGGAAAAAAAGAGATCAGAAGGGATTAAGATGTTCTGGATAGGCTCCACTTTCTTTCGTGTCCTTCTCAGTCACCTCCTCGTCATTGTCGTCACCAAAAGGATTCTTGGAAGGCTGATAAGGTTTCCTAATCGAGGAAGATGCAGTAGAAGGAATGGATCGATTTACAGGCTGCCCGAACCCACTTGAAAGACTTCCACCGAGACCTGAATCGGCAAGATTCGATACTTTCTTCGGAGGTGGATCGTCAAATGGATTGCTAAAAATGGAATCGAAATCGATTGCTTCATTTGCAAATAGGTATCAAAGCATTTGGCTTAAAATTAGCTTTGGTTTATACGAATTTTATGTTACTCTTCAGTTTTAAGAACATAATTTTAAAAATGAAAGTGCATCCATTTCTCATCAATTTAAATGCAAACCGGTATTCGCTCCTTTACAAAAACCAGATGAATTTGTCAATGAAACTCGGAGCGATTCTTGGGGGGGGGGGGGGTTGAAAAATAGCATATCAAAAAAGAGTCCTGTGAAACAGAATGAAATAATAATTGATTTTGATGATCTTCGTCCAAAGTGGAAAATCAAGAAAGAATAGCGGAGTATATGTTACCAAATTAGAAATAACCTTAAAGTAAATTTAAGAAAATAGCACTTGAAACCAAAAGCTATGCACTAATTAGTCTGGCTAATATAGAAGGCATTATAAAAATCACATCCTAATTGCAACGCAGGTTAGTTTTAGCTATTTGTAACGTACCTTGGAGCGACAGCAGGCGAAGGAAATGTGGTCGGCAGAGTCGAGCGACTTCCAGCAGTGGTTCCTTGAGCTATTGCTGTACCAATGGCTGTAGAAAGATCCACGTTCTCCAAGCTGAGAGTATGCTCAAGTTCGTCCAACAGCTTCACTGAGTCTATCGAGGAGGACTCTATTGCTCCCTTGTTCACCTCGAGCAAGTTGCGTCTACAATAATAACAGCAGATGGAGCACATTCAATTAGTAATATCGCAAAGAAAATTTGCCCAAGATGCAGCAATTAAACTTTGCAAACAAGCGTAGGCTTCCGAAAGCCGTGGCCAAAATGCATGTAGGAAAGTGACTTCTAGAGCGAAAGATTGAAATGAGAGCATTAAAATGGACAAAATACACCCGCGTCAAGTTTTGTGGGCCGATCACGAAAGTCAGTTCATCATGCCTTAATACGACACATTAAAAATTGATATATATATTATTTTATGAATCACATATTTAGACCAACTTTGTACGATTTATTTACATTAGAGCTCACCTCAAGTGAACTTTCGTGGGTTCTACTATGATTGATGAGCCCATCCAATCTGCTCTATCTAGCTCAATTCACCAGGCAAATCATGAACCATGCCATTAAGTAAGTAGTGAGCAACCCGAATTCAACAAATTGCACGAAGTACGATCTTTTGACACGCTCAAGAGTATAACCTCTTCGTCTACAAGCTATTTTGGACTTGACTATTGTCCCACAATTAACTAGTGCTTTCTACTTTACGATGTCGTGATGTGAGACAAATTTATAAGCACACATTCTGAAAATGCTAAATAATCAAATATTAGAGGATTTTGAGTTCGTTGACACTCTTCTATATATCGCAAATGAAGTGTTCTTCTCTGAGTAATATGTTGTCTTCAACTAATAGTTAATAAATTATTCAACAATAAACGAGCCTCTGAGCCAATTGCAAACTTAATCAACAACGGCAACTAATAAAATATGGGCCCATACTCTGTCCGAGTCCGCGTTATTCAATCATTTGCTTATGAAATGAGATATACCATTTATCCACCTTCCCCAACATTCATATTGTGATAAGAGCGAGAAGTGATGGCTTACCGAATAAGCGGAGCACATTCAGGGCAGAGATGGTCATCGGAAGAGTAGGTATCATAGCAACTGAAATGAATCAGTACTTACAAGGAGGGTGTTAAAGTGCATAAAAACACCTGAAAATCCACTCACGATTTATGGTAGGAGTGATCACAAAGAAAATGTACCGATGGTGGCTCCAAGGGCTGATTGCAAACTGCGCACTTCTGCTGCTGGAATATCTTTACTCTAAAAGAAGGAAAGCGAGAAGTCAGTTCTCCTCTTCTAAAATAAATATCATCTCGATAATGCAATGAAGCCACCTATAACCAATGCGAGAAATGCCCTTCCAGGTGGCAATGCATAGAACTTTTTTCGAGTTATCAAATATATGAAGTCACAGCATAGGAAACTGAAACAAGATTCCAAAGAAGTCCACCCAAAAAAACCCCAACAATATCGATTCCCATCTCTAAAGTCTCCATTTCAAGGGAATTCGAGCGGAAAAGACACAAATCTACTGCGCCATCTTTAAAATCACTGCTTTAGACGCAACGATATACACGAGTTTCCAGTGTCCGATTTCTACTTCCTTAAATTCTTAAATAAAAAGAATATGGAAGAGGTTGAAACCTCGCATAACAGATCACCACCTTCAAGAATAACATCAAATTCAATGCGAATTTCTCCAAAAAATCGTCTAAAAAAACCAATAATAAATTTTCAACCAGACGGAGCAGTGAAGAACTAAATTGGTTTTGCACTTCATAACAACTTTAGCTTACCATGTGTTTGTCCGAATAATATAAATTACTCTTAGTCAAAGTAAAAGGACGTATAATTGCCAATATGGACGACATGTCCTTATGCCAAGAATGGGACGGATTCGCCCAACTGAATCTTAACTGTGCACTTGGAGCAGTTCTCGAATACCTAAATCTGTTCTCGATCTATCTTTCTCAATAAATCATTATGAGGAACCAAATGTTTTAAAAACATGAATCTAAATAGTTACTTTGTCAATCTGATTCTAATTGATGCTTAATAATGACAGCTATCTCTAGTGGCCTATCCAGACAAGATGTTACATGAAGGATCGAAGTGTCCGAGCAAGGAGGTGGAACGTCCCATTTTTATAAACAAATACTGTATTTTTCGTCCTATAAGTTTGCAATTGAGGTAACCAAGCCCAACCGAGCAAACCAGGCTCCTTTACACAATGAACCGATGGTTTTGTTTTCGCCGTGTCCGATAAGTTGGACATCGAAATTCCAAAATGGAGAATTGGTTAGGGAAGTAAAGAGGAAAAAAGACACTCGTGTCGTGATAATCAAGAAACATAACTCACTTCCACCATCATTCCTGAAAACCTTAAAAAATACTTTGTAAATAAACAAAAGGCTCCGAAAAAAATGTCCTACCTGATTTTGCTCTGTCTAGCAATTTCCCGATTTTTCAGAGTTTCCTCTCGTAGGCGTTGCATTTTGGCTTCGTTTGCTTCCACCCTCTCCTTTCCCGACTCCAGATAACTCAGTAAATAGGCCTACCAAATGAAAGAAGAAAAATGTAGCAGAAGGGAACATTTACAAAAAGAAAAATAATCAATGATATTATCAGAGGGAGTAATATATAACTCTAGCAATGGTCCACTAAGATAAATGCAGCCTTAGAAAGTCTTGAAAATAAATTCCCCGAGTTCGTTGGAGAAAAATGATAGGATGGCATACCCTGACATTGCCGAGGCTGTGACACTTGTCCTTGTCAGGGGATGTCAGAAATTGAATGATGGCCAGTGGAAAAGCCAGATTACGAGACTCGACCTCTGAAAAACAAATGAATATCTATATGAGAAAGCGAATTTATAGAAAAAACTGACAGTGAACTGCCCAAACCGAATATCTAGACACCTGTGTCCTATATAAAGTAGAAAAAATTGTAGTTCGTTCAAAACTTTCGTGGATAAATTCCCTCCGATCAAAATTAATTTATGAAGTAGCACTGAAGCTTACTTATTCTTCACTAGCAAACAGAAAACCTTTAATCCCAACGTCTATAAACTTAAAACATCTCCCAATTGAACAGTTGAATGATGACAACTAACCACTCCACAGTAGGAGATGAATGGAACCAATCATTCACCTAGACCAAACCTACATAAATTATAACTTATTGAAGCACTTGACATGATAGTAATCCATGTCCAAAGAGAGACTACTATTTGACATTTTCTAGACCTAATCTGCCATCGTAATTGGAGTCTCAAGCAAGAGAACAAATCTCTGAGCAAAGAGATTTAAAGTTCGCTCTCCTCAAACATGGCCTTGGCATGAGCTTGGCCTGACCATGAGACTCAAATGAATAAGGCAAAAGAGCGACAAATTCTCACCCGAGAGAATACGTGGAAGCTTGTCTCCAAGTTGAGGTTTGTCGGAGACGTACTTGAAGGCTTCAAACCAGAGAGAAGGAACTTCGTCTCTAAATAAGTAAAAATTAATTAGAGGAAATCGCCTCGAAAAAATTTAGCGGTATAAGAGAATCAGTTGAAAATTCACCCATATTCCTCACAAGCTCTCATGATAGCCTCAAAATCATTATTCAACACGTAATGCTCCATGATTTGGTCAAATCTAAAGAAAGCAAGTGGAACCGCCAAACGTAATACCTTGATAACGATACCTGACCCAAAAAATAATTAGGCTTACTGTTTATTCTTCATCCAAATGTACAGACAACCCGGAATAAAGTCCCGTTGCTTGCAAAGCACCAGTGCTTTACCCTCATCATAAGTACTCTGAAATAAATAAAGGATACTACCGGAATTCTAAATAAGTAGGTTACCCTAACACAAAAACAATAAAAAGCATAGAAAGGAATGTTAGCAGAAAGGTGATTTACATTTGGATCTTCAAGTAGACGCATAATAAGGGAATGCAGATGGGAGATTTCAGCATCCTTGTTTTGAATAAAAGGATCTTTGGCGATAGAGCTGGCTTCATGGAGCATAAGTTCCAACAGTGTCTCCACCATGTTTGCCAGTGAGGTATCTTTCAAAGTGCTTTTCTGTAAAAAGAAAATAGACAAACTCCGAGTACAAAGCTGATGGTGGACCCCACGAAAGTAAGGAAAGCCTTTCAATTTTCTCACAATTATGGGCACATGAGAAGAAATGACTTCTTAGATGAGCAATGACATTTTCAGATAGTTAAAGCAAAAAGATATTAACTCACCTCAATTGACCTTTCGAGGAATTTCATCAGTCCAACTCTATTTTTGACGAATATTTTGATGAAATGCTGGGCAGTAATCCGCCCACCTATTAGAAACGAAAAATTACGCCATGAAAGAGTAAAATAATAGGATGCGTACCGGAGTTCGAACAAAGTCCATCTAGCAGTTCAGCAGTTTCTAATGGCGCATTTTGCATCAAGAAAGCCCCATGAGAACAGACAGCTTCCAGTGCCTGTTAGAGAGATCGAAATAAGATTATCTCTTTATCTGCTTCCGTCTAACTAATCGTAAATAATTTGAAACATTCTGTTAAGTGTAATGTCCCAATCCCACATCAAGTTGAATAAGCCACTGATTTTAGATTTAACTTCGGTGTTCAGCGATAGAAAAAAGTTTCGCGGAAACTAGCCATCAGAAACAGCTAGTTCTTCCATAAAAGTACCTTCAAGGGCACAACGAATTGGAATAATAGAAAAAGAAAACCAAATCGAGATCTGAAAGCATTCTAACCTCAACCTAAAAACTTATTTTGTCAGTCGGTGTGAACCCAGTGATTGGAAGAATAACTAGAAAATAGTTATATATAAATAAGTAGGTTTTAATTTATGTATCATTTCCATTCGACATAGCATAAAAATAGAGCTACTTCAGATGATAAGTAAGCACAAATCTACAGCATCAATAAAATAGAAATATCATGAAATTCCTGTTCGTTTGATTTTATGTCATTTCGAGAAAACATTTCTACACCAATTCCTTAAAACAACAATTTACAAAACGAGGGAATCTGTTGCCGATGAGATGCCTGTGATTGGATGATAGTATATCCCCGAACACCTGAGATGCCTTTGCAAAGTGTTGACGGCACCTATCATCAAATCAGATTTCTTGATATTTCGCACATTTAATAGAGGTTGGTGACCCAGTAAACGCGGAATAGATTCCTTATTAGAACTCGGATCTCATATCAAGCTACCTCACTAAAGCGCCTGCGTCACAGAGATGATCTTTCAAAATAATCTTCCAGCCAAATAACTAGCAAGAGCTGTTACATATGCCTTTATATATATCAGAAATGAGATACTAAGTCGAAATTTTATTGGAATCTCATTTGTCAAAAGTGGAAGATGCGTCGAGAGGAGAAATCATATGCATGAATTTTCAGTGCCATCAACTCCTTGCATGTCACTTCTGGTTGATACGGAAATTGCACAGAAATGAATGGCTGGACAATTTCATGAGATTGTCATCCGAATTTTAAATACGGAGATGGTAGCGATAAGAAACATGGCAAATTAAAATTCAAGTTGGAAAATTAGTTTATTCGATGATTCTGGAGACCGAAAGAGGCTGTATTCCACTGATTCTATGACTCTCAATTATACTACCAGAATACTTGCACTTAAAAGCGTCTATTCCATACCTTAGTGAACTTTGGATGTTTCTCCAGGATCGATAGCTTAATAGATTCTTGTCATGGCATGGGAAAAAAGTACGTGAGAATCAAAAGCCGGCATACCTGTTCAAACGGTAGGGATCGAATTTCCTTAAGGGCTACAGGAGCATCCTGCAAATCCTCCGTCAAAATGGTGATACAATCGCCACGATTGCCAGTGATTTGGGCCAACCGAAGAGCCTGGTGTGGATAACCCGCTCGACGAAGCACATTGATGCAGGCGTCGAATTCCTTTCCAACATTCGGCCGACCTGCCAGTTTCTGAAAAGTGCAAAACATAGAACCTACATTTAAATACTAGCTGACTACAAAGAATACTACAGCAAGTAAAATTAAGAGAATGCGGTTAAATTAGCAAATAGTACGGATTCAAATCGTACTTGCTTGTCAATCATTCTCTAAATACTCAGCATTCGATGAAGCTACCCAGCAATGTATCTGATAAGGAGATTCCTGATGCTTCTCTAAATTTCCAATATATTAGGATTAATATAATTACTGTGGTACATCATACAAATGTCGAGGTCAACCACCGTTCATAGATTGGTCCCACGTTTAGTCAATTATATTCCATCACATCGGATACGAAAACTAATTAACACTAGTTGCTGTTTTTATTACAATAAGGACCAATGTTACAACTACAGATGAGTTCAATAAAATGTATGGAGTTATAGCAATTTCCTTTTGATCATCCACGTAGAGTGGGTCGTAAGAAGCATGAAATTCAGTAGCCATAGAAGTAAAATAGCGATAAGGGCAGGTACGATCGCGATAAAATCGTCAACTTTTGGTCAATCAAGGTTACAATGGAGAACGTCAGTTGAAAATAATTTCTGAATCTCACCTTATTTCCCAGTACATTATTCTCTTCTAGGAAGTCTGGATTTTGGTTTTAGACTGCTAGTGACTAAAGGGCTTTAAAGTTTCTTAAACACCACACCTACGTAATTTAAGTCTTAGCCTCATCTAATTCGGACTTACAATAAGAATTCGTGAAATTATTTCGATTAAACGAACTCCTGTAAATATAATGAATCGAAGCTTAGCAAATCTATTAATCTATGCTGCTTCAGGCGTTAAGAAGTGAGTATCGAATTTCCAATTATTGGTTGACTATAACCTATCAAGTATATTATAAGCAAATCACTGCCGAAATATCACCTCTAGAAATTCATCGATTCTTTCCTTGTCATCAAGACGAGCGTAACTGTTGAGAAGAAGGGCAGTGTGATCTTTGGTAAGAGAGCCGCAACTGACATTTTCGGGTTTGTGCAGAGCTTCCAAGTAATGAGTAAGGTGGTTGATCAAGCCGCTCTCAAGGAACTAAAGCGAGAGAACAGAATTATTGAACATCTATCAACTTGGATCAAACCAAGTAGCACTCACTCTCAAGACAACGTAAGAAGCTTCGACAGTTCCGATCGTTTGAATGTATTCCTTCACAGCCAAATCATATTGCTTTTGACTTGAATAGAAAAATGCGCACTATCAACACGAAATTTAACCTACTTAAATAGATGATCAGCATATCTTCTGTGGATATGAGCCAGCTCCTCTTCACTGTATTTGCCAGACTCGGCTATTCCAAGAGCGAGATTAAAGCACTTCCTGGCAAACAGGGTATCAAGCATGAACTGGGTGTCCTTTTCAATCAGTTCTACTAACTGTAAAAGAAAACAGTGCTACTTATATAGTTTTCAGTAGAGAAAACTTTTAAAGTAGGCCGGGGAATTAAAAATACCTTCACTTTAGAGCTATCTTCTACACAGAGAATAAAAAGACCTCCGAGGCCAGTTATGATAGAATGTGCCCAAGGAATGACGAAATCTCCACCAAAAAATTTATTCCGGTACTCAAAGAGGGACACTGACGATTGGGGATCTGGAAAGCTAAGGTTACAAGCTCCAGGTCTAAAAAACGAAAGACTAGTTCGAAGAAAATTAGTTCGACAAACTTGTTGTGACGAATTGAGACAATATAATTTTTGTAGACACATATCGCCCGCTTTGCACCTTCAATGGCAAGACATGGACCTCGCCCGTCAGTATCATAGAAATATACGGCCTATTGAGAAAATGGAGGATATGAGAGTACATTAATAATGCCTGTTTTATGGTAATACGATCGAATACCTCTTTGTGAGCCATAGCGAGGCCTTTTTGATTGGGTTTCTCGGGATTTGTGACAATGCAAGAGCAGTTTGGTTGACAACCGAAAGAATCCAATACCGTCTAATTAAAAAAAAACTTTGAGTCATGAATCAGTGTCAGGTAAATTTACGAAGTTCTTTCCCAGCAAAACGTATAAGATGAGAGGATCAAAAGAAGTAATAATAATAACGCCTCAATATTTGCTCAGCTCAGAAGCTTCTTTAATTAAGCTCGCATTGAACCCGTAAAGAATACTGGAATTGGGTATTAAAACACTTGATGAACAGTGAACCCTGTTTTCCCCCCAATTACGTCGAGGCCTTCGGTATTTAGAGGGAAGGAGAGGGAGAGAGACAAACAATGAACATCATAATCTGTCTGAATTGGTATCCTCACCGATTTGCCCCAGCAGGACCTTGAGTAACTTTCTCTTTGAAGACTCGAAAAAAAAAACTAAGAGAAAGAAGACTGGAAAAACTTTTCATGGTGATTCTAAGGTAAAAAACGTCTGCACCTTCATGGTTTTGAGAGGACGTAATTCAAAGATTAATTCAAATTGTCTCTAAGTTGTTATCTGGCAAATTTAGACCTATTTCGGAAAGAGGTAAAAAATAAATGGCACCAGTTAGAAATCAATAAGTCTTGATTTATTTATACTATAATGATTGTGTGCATTTTAAAACAGGCTTACGAACAACTGCTTGCCTCAGAGGATTCTGTGACATCTTTCATACTTCGAACATGCAAACATCTCTAGAATACCGTAGCAAAGGCTAATAAACATTATTATTAGTAAACAAAATCCGAAAGAACAAGACAGCAGCGGCTCTTCAAACAAATGTTCTGATTCTAATTATTGGAAGACAAAGCAGTCAACACCGCTTAGCAGATAACTTGGTTTATTTTTACGGAAGTTCAATAAACCCTTGAAATTTGATACGACTGGTGTATCCTGTTGGGGTTAGGAAAATTATAAGTTAAATAAGGGTGCTCCACTAAGTCCAACTAGGATTCCGTGGTACCTTAAAACATACGCAGATATGGAACTTGATTTCAATCCCAAACTGTTTAGGAAGAATTATTTCATTTTTAAACAACTAAAATTCAAATTTTGCGCATCAAATGGCGTAAACAAAACGCCTCGACCAAAGATCGAAAAGGTAACAATGATAATCGACATAGGAAATTAATACCTCAAAGTCTTCAGATTTCAGGAGTTGAATATTTCTCCGCATGAAACAACCTGAGTCAATGGTCATAATACGATTAAAACCTACCAAAAATTTACAACGAATGGCAACCCTCCTTATAAAATGAAGGAAAGCTAAAAAACAACTGGAGGCATCTGAAAAAACTAAATGAAGAAAAGAAAAACGACCGATTTTGTAAACAGTGGAGAAAAGTTGATTGAAAAACGAAATCACCAGAGAAAAATAAAACAAATTATAACGATGACCTACAGATTGTATAAGTTCATCCTTCTTTCCCAGCTTCATACCAATCAATTTACTCTCAGACGCTGCATAGAGATAAGCATTCGTAGACGAACTGGTGTATATATTTTGACCAGAAGAGACGGAACCATTGTCCAGAATTTCAGCCAAACCAAAGTCTGAACCACGGCCGGTCGTTCCTCTCAAGAATTCACTAACCTGACTTTTCTTGTTAAGAGGCTGTGAAGTGCTCGCTGGCAAGTAATGTAAACAAGTCACTGGGCTCTTAAAGTCGTACAGGATAATTCGTTTCGTATGTCTAGATTTTAAAAAAATCACTTTAAAATAAGGTTATCATAGAAAATATAGACGCGAAAACTAACTAGCTCACCGATCTGAAGTAATGTCTCCTTTAATGAGCTGAACTGTGCCGCTCACATGTCCTAGCACAACGATATCCAAAGTGGAAGACACCTCAAGGGCTGAAACCTCACCAAAATCGCTACCACCTCCAGGGAGAACGGTTTTGATACTTCGATAACATAAAGGGGAGGATGATTTTGATGTTAAAGGCCATTTATTGACGTTCCAGACACACAATCGTTCCTCGGCGACCCTGCCCGTTTCAACACTTGAGCGTCCAATGGTTACTAGAAGGCGAGATTCTGCTCCGGGTACTTGGCGACAAAGACGCACTGGACCACGACAGTGGGCGCGAAAAGAGACAAAGGAAAATGTGGAATCAAGGCAATGCATAAAACCGTCAGCATCACCAATCCACAAGTAGCCGCCTCCGCTGCTTACACAAGTTACTGGAAGCTCCTAAACAATGGTAAAGAATTAACTAAAGGGTCTCAAATAAAATTGATTTAGACGAAAATATTTTTATGAAATTACCTGAAAAGCGCGTTCATTTTTCTCAATATCTAATTGAACTTTGTCAAAAAAAGTAAAACGGCGGGACTAAAAAGTGATAGAAAATAAAATATATGAATCGCTCAATAAAAATTTACAAGATTTAGGCTCTTAAAAAGAGTGAACTTACAAATGACATAAATTAGCTTGGATTATCGTACCGACCTTAGGAGAGATTGAGCAAAAATGCTAAAACAGACAATGTATTCAGCCAAATAAGGCGCTTAAAGGTACGCCTGTATCAAAGGGCATGCGATTTAAATATATTTACACAAATTCAAAATAAACTATTTTCATCTAATTTTCTAGTTCGTTGTTATTTGCACCAAATACTGGTTCGTGTGTATATTGTTTCTTAATTCCTTGAGCTTAATTATTGATCCACTCTAAAAGGAGCAGATCAAAATTATAAATTTTCATTAAGGCAATATGATTGAAAAAATATAGAAAAATTATTCCATTTCATCTTTATTTAAGCTGGCCATATAGCTCCGACGTGCGAAATTTCTGCTATATAAGGTCATATTCTGATAGTTAGAATATTATTGTTTTATATATAGGGTATGAAGTATGAAAAATCTGGTAATCCTAGCGATTAAAATAAGGAAGTACTTAAAATGAAATAAGCATCTAAAACTTGATAACTTCAACTAAAGTACCCAACCATGTTTTTCTAACAATGCTACTCTAAGGAATTTAAGTTCAAAAAGTATTTGTTAGAATCTGTCAATTATTACTTATGATGTTTATACCATTAGATGTCGCTAATTAGCCCTTGAAAGCACACAAACCAGTTTATGCAAAGAATAAATTCTACCTGTATCGATTCAAGACATTTTTCCAAAGTGATGGATGACTCTTTATTAAACATTTCCATGCCTGTCAAAGGGGACAATGGACAAACCACCAAAAAAGAAAGCTTCGTAATTTAAAACTGAAATAATAAGGGGAAATTTTTTCACTTTATTTCTGAATCGACTTGTCTTAAAGAGAAGTGTTTTGGCAATTCGCTTACAACGTAATATAATTGTGAGGTGTCCTGGTGATCAGAATTATCAAATTTCTTAATTACAGGACTTAGTGATTTAATTTAGTTATTTTTACAGAAAGAACCTCACCAGAATTTATTTATTTCAAATGGCAGACGTTTCGATAGTTATTATTAGCCCTTTAGTTGATTTCGGGCTTCACAGAGGGGAGGAGGAACATCAGTGAGAAAAATTCAGCAGGGGTGGGAGAAGAGTGATTCATAGATGTCAAAGTGACAGACAGACACAAAAGCAGAGAAAAGGTAAGATGAGCACTGTGATGTGGTCAAATATTACATACCTGCAACCTCGCCCATCGACTTAAATAAACTGTCTTTGTTTTCTCTCATATGCGAATGCCGACAAACTCATGTCATTTATCTTTCTGATTAGCTTCTCTCTTACCTCCTTCATCCTCCAGTCCTCTTTGTCACTCGAATCCTCATCGTGGTTTATTCACAATGCTTTATACAAAAATTGGTGACCCTGAGATCATTCGTTCTTCTGCACAAAATTGTCAATGATATTTCATTCAAATAGTGTACCACAAATTGCAACAATCGTATAAAGGGAAAGTAAGTATGACATAATAAAAATATTAATTGTAGTGTATAGATGTCGATATAAGAAAATTTGAAAAGTCTTTTTACTTGTCAATTTACTTCCTCACATACAATCATGCGGTTTATTTATAACCTGAGGTTCGAGATCGACAAAGGTGGGGAAAATTTGTTATGATCGGATCTGCGTTTATGTTTCAGAAGGTCCGCAGATAGGTAGTACCACTATCAATCGACTGGAATTTGTTTTTAAACGGACTTTTACATGTCAATCAAATCGAAGAAACTATAATCATTGTTATAAAGAAACTCTTCAAACGGCTGGCAAAAAGACTTCTTTTCACCATGCGTTAACATATTTTCCCTTATTTATTTTCTTTTTCCCTATAACCTGTCCCCGACGCTTTTCCACTCCTACCACACACATTCACTGCACTTTATTTCTATTATTATCTCATGGTACCAGCTCAAGCCTACCTCAACCTTTGGCATCATCCTCTCTGCTTCTTCCTATTTAAGTAGTATCTTTATAGAGTCTTTTAACTTAGTACTTTACGCTGATCTGTATCAAGAGGCCTTTTTCTTCTATAAGTTTGCTAAATTCCGATTTATTATAAAAACTAGGAGGTTGTTGATTAAGGTCTATTTCGTTAAAAATTCAACCCTAACTATCCTATTCTTAAATCTTGCTCTTGTCGCTACTTGCAATAGTTTGTTTAACTGAGAAAAAAAATCGCCTTTCAACTTTTATTTATTCTGCATGGGCGGTCATTTTTCACTACCATTCTTTTTCTTGATACTCATTCTCTTCACTGAAAATATCCTCCCATATATTTTGACTTGAATTTAAGAATTATGAATTTATCATTCATTTTCCCTCTAAAATCAGACCACAAATGGAAATTACAAATTCCTTTTTAAATTTCTATTGAATACTTCCTGGTCTACGGGACGCAACTAGATAAAAGTTCAAATTGTTCTAAGGCCAAGCCATTAACTGGATGAGCTATTATACGCGCATAGTGATTAGTCTCTGAATTATAATTAGTATTTATATCAAATGGCAGGCCTTATGATAGTTATCATTAGCTCTTTATTTAGCTCCGGGCTTTACAGAGGGGAGAACATCAAAGTCACAAAAAGTCGAGAAGTGATTTACAGAAGTAAGAGAGACAGATACAAAGGTGGAGAACAATGGTAAGGTGAGTACTGTAAAAAGGTCAAATATGACTTACAGTGGGGTCATTGTAGCTTGAAGTCAACTGCCGATTTATAGACTTTATTGCCATATGAGTTTTCGTTGCCCAGGGTGCACCACGTGGAGGTAATTCTATTGCGCACTCTGTTTTAATCATTATAATGTTGTCAATTTTAAGAATTAAGAAAGGATTCGTAGTACCTGTACACGTTGACTAATAGGTTTACTCGGTTCCTCTACGCATCACTCCCTTACTTAGTCAACCTCTAACCCCAGGTGTTAGCCGCTTATCAAGACGTGCCTCTCTTCTCCTGTTTCTGCGACCCGGATTGCCTTCGTTGAGTGCTGACACCTCACCCCTTCCTCCGTATTCCTCTATCGATTGACTTCTTCTCTAATGCATTCCCAATTGTCAAATATTATCAAGACATTTTACTTATCTCCTAGTTTTCCAACCCCAAAGAAGGTTTCGAACTATGCCAGTCCGAGGAATATCATTAGTTCTGTTATTAGATATCTATTTAAAAGTAGATGTGGCTCTTAAAATAATTTTAAAATTCCAAATGCCCACTTAACGGACCTCGGCAGGTCAATGGTGACTTACAGGGTAGTTTCATGAACTAGATAAATTTAATGTTAGTCAGCACTTTGTAAAGTGTTAAATTTATTTACTTCAAACGGCAGACTTTATGATAACTATCATTAGCCCTTTAGTTGACTCGAGCTTCACAGAGGGTGGGAACATCAAAATGAGAAAAACTCGAGAGGGGAACAGAAAGGTGATTCAAGGATGCAAAAGAGATAGACAAGCACAAAGGCAGAGAAAAGGTAAAGTGAGTATTGTGAAAGTGGTCGAATATGAAATACAGTGGGGTGATGGTAGTTTGAAGTTAGTAGTCAACTGCCGGTTCATAGACTTTTTTGCCGTATAAATATACGTTGTCCAGAGTGCACCACGTGGAGGTAAGTCTATCGCACACCCCGTAAAGCGTTAAATGAATAGACTTAACTTCTTATTCTAACTCCCCCCCCCTCTCTCGTATAAATTGTATTTCTTATCAGGAGGCACCGATTACTTCGTGACTTTAATACTCGGTGCCAAGTTCAATCATTGTTTAATACAAAACTGATACTAAAACTGTCCTTTAAGAAGTTCTTAACGAATAAGTTCTTAGAGTACAGCTTGTAATGAGTGATGATCTTTCTAACTCTATCTAATAATTGTAGTAAGTTGGATTTTTGTGTCTTTCATGCCAGTATCGTTTTCAATCCACTCTTTCTTGCATAGAAATGAGGTAGTAATTAGCGAAGGTAGGCTTAATTCTCCAGTAATGCACCAGAGAGAAATAAATAAGGTAAACCTTTATCCACCAGAGGAGTTGTTGGCTTAGGACAAGTTACGCATGCAAAACTAATCCAGACTATGATATTCTTGCTGCGTATGCCACCTAGAGCGTTGTATCAGGAAAGTAAGCTTTGCCAAAACGGGGAATATCGCAATTTTCAGTTAGAGGAGCTAATCACCAGCAGCTACAATTATTGCTTAGTTTATAATTGTAATATTTTTATTTCAGCAAATTATTTGATCTTAAACACTCTAAATCAATAAGGTAGTTGCACAGGCGCCATAATAATAGTTATTAAATGGCAGTCAATTACTAGAATGTGCACTGTTACAGTCTTTCGACCTAACTATTGGAGAAATAATCGGATCACTTGTGAGTTACTTCAATGAGTCCACTCCACAAATTGCAGTGCTTACTGACGTGAGCACTGCTCTTCAAGCAGAATCTCCTGTGTTGGAAAAGACTCCCAGAATTAGTTAAGCTACCTCAAAGCTATAGAGGAAATAGATGTATAAGGTTGGATACGTTTATTTGGTATGGCGCGCATAAGCGCGGTGTGTATTCAGCAGTGTTTCAATTGAATAGTCGAGAGCCTCTGCATTTGTTATGCAAAAGTTATGTTCTCCCAAAATATTCCCACTCTAGAGCCTTTATTGAGGCTAAAAGGGGATAGACAACGCTCGAAAATTGACTACATTAGTTGCTTGATTTCCGGATTGTTATTTTCATGTATTCATAGCCGCTTCTTTTGCATCGGCTCCACGCTCAAGTGTCGTTTTTGGGTTAGCTGGACGATTGTCTTTTGAGTTTGATAGTTTGGAGTTTACTTGACGCGATGAAAAACGTTCACGAGTAGATGTAGACAATCTCTGTTGTACTGGAGTTTGTGTTCTGTCCCTTTAGGTAAAGTTGCAATGTTTGGAAGCCGACAACAGATTGGCATGGGTCAGGAAACGCTGCCCTCTTGCGAGTCTTCACAATAGATGATGTTGTTTAGGGTTTCTGTG